GTTTGAATTGACAGTTAATCCTTTTAATGAATTGTCCCAGTGGATGAATGTACTTTGATTTTGATATTATCTGAATTATTCTTGTTTTTCTAATTAATTGATGGGATTGCTTATAATTATAGGTTATTCTTAGTTATCATTATTAGTTATTTCCAAAAAATACAAATAGTGTACAGTCTATAATAATTATAGACTGGTTGGCCACTGTGTGGAACAGGGTGCTAGAGTAGATGGACCACTAGTCTGATCCAGCAGGGATCTTATATTCTTATGTTATCTGGGCTGATTTGTTTTTACCAACTATTTCCTTTTTTCTATCTCCACCCAAACCTTAATTTCTGATTCAGAAAGTTGCTATCAATGAAAAGCTTCTTAAGAACTTTATTAATCTGTGCTATTTAGTGTAACAGTATTAATTACCGGAAGACACAGCCTTACCTGTTCATACGAACACGTGTAGCAATCCTATCAAAGCACAAAGCCACTAAGGAAACATGGGTAATGCTTTTTCCTGTAGCGTTGCCTGATGATTCTTCCACTGATGCTTGCAGTAAACACAAATTCACCTATAAAAAGTGGCCCAAAGATCAATAAAATCTTAATTCATATTTTAAGAAGTTACAAAAAAAAAGACTTCCATCCCATCCCATAGAAACCCAAAATTTCTCAATAACTTTACTTTAAAAAAGCAATTAAATTCATATAACCACACACATTTCTAAAACATGTAGTTACTATAAAGCCTGCAAGGCTAATCACTCAGACTGGTTATTACCTTGGGGAGCGTAACATTAGCTTGAAGTCCTTTAATAGTCACATTATCTTGCTTGAGAGAAAGATTTGTCTGTGTTTTTGCTTGAGTAGTTCCTGTGGCAGGGGTCTCTATTTTTGATCCTCTAACATCCTGCTTGGAGGATAACTTTAAAAAGGCAGGGGGAGAGCATGTCAGTTTGTATTCAATGTATGTTCAAATGCTGTATTTAATGACCAAATATTTTATTCATACGCATTCAAATTAAGAACATAAGAAAAACCCTCCTAGATCAGATGAGTGGTCCATCCTGCCTCACACAGTGACCAACCAGTTCCTCTGGAGGGCCAACAACAGGGCATGGAGGCTGAGACCTTCCCTTGATGTTGCCTCCTGGCTCTGGGATTCAGAAGTTTAGTGCCTCTGAATGTGGATGTTCCCCTCAATCCCACGGTTAGTAGCCACTGACAGACCTATCCTCCATGAATCTATCTAATCCCCTTTTAAAGCCGTTCATTCCTGTGGCCATCACTCCAACCTCTGGCAGTGAATTTCACATTTTAATCACATTTGTCAGTAAATATATGATAATACGATAAGAACATAAGAGAAGCCAATGTTGGATCAGGCCAATGGCCCATCCAGTTCAACACTCTGTCATACAGTGGCCAAAAATACTAGGTGCCATCGGGAGGTCCAGCAGTGGGGTCAGGACACTAGAAGCCCTCCCACTGCTGCCCCCCCCAGCACCAAGAATACAGTGCATCACTTGCCCCAGCCTGAGAGTTCCTATCTATACCGTGTGGTATAGCCTCCGCTTCATACCAGTACCAGATTCAGAGCTCCAACCACAGACTTACCAAAGAGATATTTGAGGCAAAGGCTTAGCTTTTAGATAACATTTGCTCTTGGGTTGCAGGTGACAGGGCAGGGGAGAGGTCTTCCCCATTCCTAAATCACTAGGAGTGCGCATATGTTTATCTTTTGGAATGGATGCAATACCAGGCTAGAAGAGGGTCAGGGCGAGACCTTCATATTTGTGCCACTCCCAGTCTCAGGGAAAAGCTTCCCTCCTTGTCTCAGTCCATACATAATGCTGGGAGAGGGATGGAAAAAAGAAGAGAGGGCACCTAGAAATTTGAACAGCAACACCAAGCTTGGCGATGAACCCCACTGAGCCCCTGTAGACTGATGACCAGACATGGCCAGTTTTGGCAGGCCTAAAGGAGCTGCTCTTCCTGGCATTGTGTGCAAGGCCACCCTAGCTGTGATCAAGAGAATCTATTCCAAAGATCAAGATTGCAAAATTTTGGAACAACCCAAGAATATTCATTCCGAAGGGAAACTTGATAGCCACAAAGCACCAGAATTTGGCTTTAGAAACAATAAATTCCAGGGGTAACGGTGCCAAGAAATACAGAAAATGAAAGCTGAACCTTAAAAAACGAACAAGAACAACAACAACAAAACCCAGAAAATGAGGTCCAAGGAGAAGCTGTGGAGCCATCTTCTGTGAAACACCCCCTTTTTCTTCTCTGCTTTCCCCATTGTTCTGAGGAAACCAACTTTCTTGTGTCAACTGTCCCTGTTCCAGGCATACCTCACCCTGTACACCGCAGAAAGAAAAGGTGAGCCTGCCAGGATACTTCAGGCACCGGAGAAAGTCAAGTTAGAGAAGATCCCTCATAATTACACACCAAGACCTAAGTGAAAGGAAACTCAGCAG